CCAGGTCTGAGCAGCTGGATGGGTGCCAGGTCTAGGCATATGAATGGATGGCTAGATAGACTATACATCTATACATCCAGACGGGTGAATGAGATGCAGGATGGGTGTGGGCAGATGTCATTTCCAGGAGGCCTCATCAGTAGTGAGCCCAAGCCAGGCTGAAGTCCCTGGGAGATGAAGTATTTCTCTGCCTGAGGGTCCTGTGATGCCCACACAGATGTCCAGAAGACATGGGGGCCCACCCCCTTTCCATTTCTGTAGGGTCCAGATGAAGGAGTTACGTACCTTAAACTAGTAGGCCAAATAAGTTCTTGACTCTGATTTCCCTCATATGATCTTAATAAACCCCTTGACTTTCAGTTAACCGCAATAAATGTACAGGGTGGCAGTCTTTTAACTCCCAGGGATAAGTCATTTATCAGTTCATGCCAAAAAAATAGGTGATGCCACACTGGTCATATGTCAATCCAGGAGCAGAAACATTCTTTGTCCTCAAAACGGAGCTAAATATGCCTGCAAAATGGAGTCTTTCTGGGTAATGCACTTTCTGATAAGCCATGTTTAACTTGGGAAAGGGCACAACTCCGTCTCTTCTAGGTGAGAAACTTACTGGCCTGTGTACTTCTGCTCTTCCAGACACAGACACAGCTAGCACTGTGCTTGCGTTCAACCTGCCCCATTCTGAAGCAACCCAGGAGGCTTGCTGCCAGTTATGCTCTTGAAGGGTTGACCACTTTATCAGTGGTAAAAGTATCCTGTTTTTCCAAATAAACTACAAATTTGATCAAGTTTTGGTTCTAAATGCACAGTGCATGATAAAGAACATCAAACTTTATGGATTCTCCACACAATAAACACAACAGAATGTTGTGTTTCTGTTGGAATGTATTTCAATTCCACATATATGTCAAACTTCTTTAGATACAATTCTTATGTTTGTAAAATTAATACTAATTTATTACTCATCCACATATTTATTATCTCTATTATTCTTCATTAATTCCTGCATTTCTCTTTCCATCTGGGGTAATATTTCTTTTACCTTAACAGCTTTTTTCCTTCCTCCCTCTCTTCCTGCCTCCCTCTCTCCCCTGCGAAAGGTCTATTGGTAAGAAGTTCAATGTTGAACCACACTCTATCCTCCCTGAGACAGAATCTGAGACTTGTATTCCAGGCTGTTTCTCTGCAACTAAGGAGCCTCCTGTATTATCTTCTTAAGTACTGGGATTGTGAATGTGCTCATTGTACCTGGCTCTGCATGGGTTTTTTAAGAACAGTTGCTCTGTGCAAAGGTTAGCATATTTATCTATCTATCTATCTATCTATCTATCTATCTATCTATCTATCTATCTATCTATCTATTTGCTCCCTATCTGTGGCAGCTAATCTTCATTGCAACTTGATGAATTTTATAACCATCACACAACCTGAGTGTGTTTGTGAAGATGGCTTAAAAGAACAAAAATTCACCTGGATATCAGTGGCGCCATCCCAGGACGTAAGGTTTGTCTAGAATAAAAAGGAGAATGTGAGCTGAACATATGGACCTCTGTTTCCTGATGACAGTGCAATGTGACACTACCTCATGCTCTTGCTGCTGTGGTGTCCAGACAAGGTGTGAGTCAGACTACGAGCCAAAATTAACCCTTTTCACTTAAAATCGCCCTTGCCAGGTATTTTGTCACTGAAGGAAGTAAAGCAGCCAAATGGAGATGTCATTTCATTTTGTTCCCACCCCCACTGTCAAAAACTCAGTGCTCAAGAACTAACATTTTATCCTAACTAACATTTTATTAACAAAGAATGTTTCTGCTCCTGGATTGACATATGACCAGTGTGGCATCACCTATTTTTTTGGCATGAACTGATAAATGACTTATCCCTGGGAGTTAAAAGAATAGAATATATTCTATTCTCACCCTCCAACAATGTTCTCACACACACACCATTTTATTTACATTTCTATTTACATTTCTCTGTTTTCTCACCCTCTGCAATTGTAATTGTTTTCCTGTGCTGACTAGTTTCATGTCATCGGCTTGACAAACACTAGAGTCGTCTGAAAACAAGGAACCTCAACTGACAAGATACTTCCACATGGTCCAGTTGTAAGGCAGTTTCTTTATTAGTGATTTATATGGGAGGGACCAGCCCATTGGGGGTGATGGCTTTCTTCAATAATGAACAATGGGGTGGAAGTGTAAGCCAAATAAACTCTTTTCCCCACTAACTTATGTTTCATCACAGCAAGAATAACACTAAATAAGACCCCCATCCGAAAAGAAAATGGTACTAGGAGGGTACTGTATGACAGATCTGACCACATTCACTATTTTGAGGAGGACTGTGGAAAAAACTTGGAGCTAGAAGAGCCACCGAGTGCTGAGAGCTCAGTGGGCTGTTCTGTAAAAGCTTGGAAGATGAAAGTGTTGGAAGCAGTGCAGATGATGGAGGCCTGGCTCAGGAAGTATCAGAAGGAATGGGCCTTTGTGTGAAGAATCTATGCTGTCTGCTCAGCTGGAGCTGAAGAACTGTTTGTGATGAACAGGAGACCAGAACCGATAAGGTGGCTTGGCTTTGCCAGGACAATAGATGCTCGTCAGCAGAGGCCAGCATCACTGAGGTGAAGTCTTCCGGGCAGTGTCTCCTCAGGGTCAGCACACAGAAACTCTGCTCCAGAGGTGGCTGTATGACGATTGAAGGAAAGCATGTGACATTTGTAGTTCTTGTGTGTATTTCTTGATTCTCTCTAACTCATTGAAAGCCAGTCTTGGCTGCTATGTTTGGTTAGGAATGCTTTGACAAATTTCAAATTCTTACACTTACATCCTTCTTGAATAAATTCATACAAGCGCCAGAAAGCATTGATTGAGCAAACATAGAGCCTAGGTTGAAGGTAAGCTCACTGGGATCTGTAAGCGCCTCCATGATTATTAAAGAGTTTCATCATCTCTCAGCTACAGCTTGCCTGAAGCCTTACTAAATCAAGCTTGGCTGTTTAAATTTTTGTACTGCAAGTTGGAAAACAGAGAAAGTGGCACATGTAAATGTGTCACATAGGCAATTAAGTTTGAATGACCTGATAAAACTTCCCTATACTTTCAGTTTTTCTTTCCTCAGTGTCTGAGATTAACAAGATTATGGGGACTTTTTTTGTTGTTTTTTTTGTTTTTGTTGTTGTTGTTGTTGTTTTTGCACCAAGGCCTAATTATAACTTAAAACTATTTACTTAAAGGATGTATTTAAAACTATTTACCTAAGGACCCTGGGATTTCAACCAAAGATTGTTTACAGGGGCAAGGAAGCACATACACACAGAGACACATACAGATACCCTAAATACTGAAATACAGAAATGCTCAATCTTTATGGTGTTACTTATAAAAATATCTATATACATAAACAGATGATCACAGTGACCACTCACTTTCAAACCTTGTTTTCCTTTCCACATCCTATCACTTTATCTATTCTATCTATTCGGTGTCTTAAACACCTTCCAAATCTACCAACTTTTCTTTTCCTCCATGAGTCAACCACTATTTCTGACTTAGAGGATGTTGGCAGTCTCTCTTACTGCCTTTCGCCACTGTAGTGAGTGACCTTTATCGGGTGGAAGATGCTGTTGTATTACACTAAACCAGTCAAAGGTATCACACTGTCCTTCAGAGAAAGGAGAAAGCCTGCATTTGTAACTGTGGCCCATGAGTCCCAACAGAGCTCTAGGTTATTGTCTCATCTCTCTTTCCTAAATCCTATTTTACACACACACACACACACACACACAGAGAGAGAGAGAGAGAGGTGAGAGAGATAGAAAGACAGACAGACATGCCATCACACAATCACTCCATTTTCAATCCTGAATTAATATTCATGGGACATACATTTCAACAACGTCAGAACAGTACCGAAGATCTCCTTCATATAAAAATATCCCAGAAGGCTAATGTAATCTGGTAAAATAAGTACAATTACTGTTTTCTGCTGAACTTTTTGTTTTGTTTTGTTGTTTTTGTTTTTGAGACAGGACTCACTATGTAGCTCAGGTTGGTCTGAAATTCTACGTAGACCAGGTTGGCCTCAAACTCATAGAGATCCAACTGTCTCTGCCTCCTGAGTGCTGGGACTAAAGGTCTGTACCAACACATACAATTTTAATAAACCTTTATTTTTCTGTGGATATCACATATGGCATGTAGTTTTGATAGAGACACATGGTTACACTTTCAATGCCTGTAGACTCACTAAGCTTTTGATGACCCAATTTATTTTAACCTTTTTAGATGTGGCTTGCTTTTGTCTCTCCCTCCATTGTCTCAATTCTTTTTTTCATACAGTGTTTGTTTTAGGGAAATCTTTCTGGCCTCACAAACAATCAGAGCCTCCCAAAGCACAATGCTAAATGTACCTGAAAAGCAATATATTTCTACATTGTATGGCAATGTAAGAGCTTTTACTTTAGTGAGTTGAACTGCAAAGCGGTGGAAGGCCTAGTCCTGACTAGGAATTCAAGCTCCTGTGGAATCCCTATTGATTGGATGGCTTGTTGTAATGAGCCATGCTTTTTGTGATAGCTTGCTCTTAGTTGAACATTCGACTTTCTTTCTCCGATAGGCGTATGACACTAGGTTGTCGTCAGCAGGCACAGGGTGCGCATATAGATCCCTATGGAGAGGGTGGTTAACAAGAACACTACAGCATTCTCACCCAGCACCGTGAAAGCATGCCCGCTCTCTACATTTCCATTTAAAGTTCAAGTTATGTCATACGCTTTTACATCTATCAGGCGGCATGTAGTTTGGCAGTGTTCCAAGTATGACTGACCCAATATAGAAGTAAAATTTGTGGAGCTTCGGACTTAATCTAGCCCCGGGTCACCTCAGTATGACAAAGTTAAGTTAAAAATTAGTAAATGATTGACTCTTGTGGTGCAAGCAAAGAAAGGTAAATAACAGAAGGGAACACGGAGATTTATTAAAGCAAGCATTAGAAGACAATCAGGTGCTCTGTCCTGTGCATTTTACGTCTCTGGCTTAGGTACAGGAGCTGCTCAATGAATACTTAATGAAGTAAAGATCACAGTATGCATCGAAGGTGAGGAACACTGCCTGGCTCTGTAAATAACGTAGATTTACATATTAGTGTGTGTATATATAATTTGTTATACATATGCATTTATGTCTGTTCATCTACATAGATATGTAGGTATATTTGGGTATCTAACACGGGTGTGCATGGGTGGACATTAAGTGTCTTCCTCAGTTCTTCTTCACCTTATATTTTGAGACAAGTCTTTCATTGAACATGAGTTCACTGACTAGCTAGACTGACTGGTCAGTTAGCCCAAGGGATCCTCCTGTATCCAACACCCGGTGTTTATTTTACAGGTGTGTGATGCCATGCCTGGGTTTTACATGGGTATCAAGGATCTGAACTCATTTCTTGGGCAACAGGGTCTTGGCAGACTCATCTGACTCTCCTGTTTAAGTACATTGTTTCCGAACACTTTGCGTTAACCTTCTACAGTTCATCCTGATAAAATTATTGTGTGCCACCCCCTTTTAGGAACTGCACGTCATCAGCTGCAGGGGCTCATAGTTTGACAGCAGAGGCTGGCTCCTTTGACTGACAGCACACAGAGGGACGCACCCATTAATTTGAAATTTTGTCTCCATACAAACCGAAACAAGTCTTGTGAGATTATCCTCTTGGTTATTTATTGGTGCTTGTTTGTTTGTTTGTTTGTTTTTTAATATATTTTGAGAATAAAGCTTTAAAATTAAAAAAAATTAGAATTCCTTGTTATATATTGAAGCTTTCAGCTAGCTCAAATAGGCAGCAGTGCTGTTTCTGGTTAGTCACAATGATTGGTTTGGTTTTCACTCTTAACCTTCAAACTTTTGTTCTCAAAACACTACCAAATATTGAATGAAAACCTACTGTATGTATGTGTGTGTGTGTGCATGCATGTGAAGCTCCACAGAACAATGAGTGAAGAGAATAATGAAAATCATGTTCTTTCAGAAGCCATTTTTAGTGGGAATGGCAATTAATTACATAGTTTCTAAAATTGTTCGCTGTTCTAATCCATTTCAAACATCAATGATTCCCTTGGTTGTTTGCTAATTAGATTGGAAAAATGAATGCAGAAACCATATACTTTGTGGGAAGGAAAAGAATTAAGATTTACCCTACCATGCATCTTTACTTGGTAGATTCTTTTTTTTTTTTCCTGAAGCATTATTATATTTGTAATTTTTATTCCAGACATTTATGTGTTTGGGGGATTGTATATCTTTAACTTTAAAGGGTTCTGTTTTACTCTTTTGTCAGTGAAACTGAACACTGCATTCCTACATATCTGTTACTCTAGATTAATAGATCTCAGAACTATTTGCAGCACATTCATTTTCCCAAGCAGAAGAAGGGTTACGTGCACTGACAGGCAATTCTTTCAGGTAGTGGCCAGTACTGCACAGAACCTGTAATGACATTCTTTCTTGTTAGGTATTGCTTCTTCGTGTAAATGATTTTCTGTGCCAAAATAGGACTTGTGTAATTGCTATAAGCGCATGCTTATCTTTCCAACGCTTTTTGGAAAATAAAAATAGGGCACTTTAACTCCGGTGAATGAAAAAGAAATTTTTAAATTGCCAGCTTTGATAAGTTTATGGGGGGAGAAAGTAGGCATAAAAACTGAGAACACACAGGCTCTTACCAACATTATTTTATCGCTAACAAACTATTTTCCTTTATTGCTGCAACATAAGGTAGTGTCTATTTGTCATTCACAACTGTATTTTGAGAGATACTGAAAATTCAGCATCCTACTGAGCAAAAATATGATTAATAGAATTACTTGATTCTACATTTCATAAATGAATACACACCTCCCAGTTTGGATTGTAAAGGGTATAGAACTGGACCCTTCCTTGGAAGTATTTTTTGTCTTTAAGATCTTAACATATACAGGGTAATAAGAAGCTGGTTGGTACAGCTGAAGGGAAGTGATGCATCTTCAATATTTCTCAATTCATTAATTGATGAATGTGTTCATTCAATGTGCACTTCAATTATGTGTCAATGAAATCAAACAAGAGTCACCGGAAAGAAACATTTTAAGCTGCATTAAAATCATTGAGCCTGACCCTCTACTGAGCAAAGATTATGAATGTTTCTCCTTTCTTTGGGAATTGTAAGTGCCTGTACTTACTTACTGGGCTGAGGTCATCTGACAGGCCACAAGGAATTAAATCAGGCCAGGATGGAGGAGCTACAGCACAATTGAGGCTGTGACAATTTTATTGAGAGCAATCAGACTTTTTATATCTTTATAAAAAACTCAAATATGGTGGCAATTTCTAGGATCAATAGAGTTGTAGTTGCCAGAATACAATCATGTTTGAAAGTTATGCAAGGCACACAGGATTAATATCTAAGAACAACCGTCCTGTCAAGCTTCCATGCTTCCTTGACTTCCAAGGAACAGAGAAACACAAAGAGGCCTGAATGCTTCACTGTCTGAGGGCATGCATCAGTCTCTCAGGAACTGGAAGGCACACTATGCCCCAAGAGCCATGGATTCTAGAATGAAAAACCTATGATGCATGCCTCTCAGGTCAGCTAGGCCAAGCCAACTCCGTGGTTCCCTGCAGGGTATTGCATCATAATTCTTGTTGCTAGCACCACAGTGACCTTAGTGCCCTTCACTCACTATGGATGCATTATAGTAAACAAAGATAAATAATATGTATTTCCCGTCTTCAAGAACCTTCAAGAGAACACTAGCAAGAGAACTGATGGTTTCAGCAAAGCATAAATTTGTGTTGTGAATGTATATCCACAGGATTCAGGAACCTATTATTCACATTTGAAAACAAAATAGCTTTACTGGCCCTCTGCCTCCAGCAGGTTTTATTTGATCAACTTAAATCAAAAGATGTCTGCCATTCCTTGATGTGCTTACATATAGCTAAAAGAGAGTACTATGAACAAAATGGAGAGCCTAGAAAAATATATTTCTAGACAAATTGTACAAATAGAGAATAATGAAGAAATAGAACTGAAAAAAAAAAGCAAAAACTAAGATTAAGTCTGTGATAAAACATTTCCCACTAAAAGAAAGCCCTTGGACCTGATTGTTTCTAGTACATATTCTGCCAAATCGTTAAAAAACAAGCACAAGTCCCTTTCAATTTTTCTAAGGATTAGAGAAGGGATATTTCCAGACTCCTTTGACGAAGTCATTTCCGCCATGATGCCAGAACCAGAGAATTACACTACAGGAAAATAAAGTTTAAGGTGAACATTTGGTGAGCATAGTTATTAAAAATGACAACAAAACACTATCAAACTGAATCATCAACATATTAAAAAGGTTATGTATCAGGATCAAATTAGTTTTATCCCTAGGATACAAGGATAAGTACAAGTAAGTAAATCAGTGAATTTGGTTCATTATTTAGAAAATTGTAAGAAAAAGCACACAGTTATCTCAATTGATTCAGAAAAATTATTTGACAATATTCAATATCCTTTTGTGATAAACTTTCCATATATATATATATATATATATATATATATATATATATATATGGAAGTAGTCTCAATGGAATAAACTCATTACACATATATTCAGTGTTGAAAGGTGCAGGCCTTCCCTAGAAGATACAGAACAGGGCAAGTATGCCTTTTCTTGCCTTCCATTGAACATAGTATCAGAAGTCTTAGCTAGGGCAATTAGCTAAGAGAAGAAGTAGTAGGCTTCTAAAAAGGAAAGCCACAAAATTGTCACTGTTTGTTTAGGGCATGGTCTTATGCATGAAAAACTATATGGCCCATACTGTCTTGCTCTTCCCAGCTCCTGCCACCAGTAGGTAAGAGCTATTTATGACCCAACCTAGATTTTCTTGGTCCATTCAGCACTATCTCACAACACAGCTTTAAAAAAAAGAAAGTAAGTTTAAAGATGGTAGCACACATGAGAAAAGAAAGAAAATAACTTAAAGAAGGGTTAAAAAATGAAGCAGGAACTGGGACAGCAGGCTGTAAGAAAAGAGAGGTAGGGAATGGGTTATAACATAGAGGAGTTTTCCTTGAGGTACTTGGTTTGAAGGCATGAAGAAGTCATGAAGAGCAGTTGAGGACTGGCAGTATAAGAAGACAAGAAAGGCCGTGGGTAGAGGTGCAACCTCAGTTCCAGTGGAGACTCTTCAAGAGAGGGAACAACTGAGGTTTGGCATCATGAGAAACCAGAAGAGGCCATCAATGGGGTAGGGCCTCAGCTGCAGTGGAAACCACAGGATTGAAGTTATCATGGTGAAAGGCAGAGGCTTGACATCAAGTCACAAGATCAGAATCCTTAAAGAGGAGCCAGGATGCTGTTGGCAAAGGTGCAGCTTGTGGAGACTCCACAGATTGTAGATGCCAGGACCATAGAATGTGCAAGGACAGCAGATGCTGTGGGGCAGAGTGTTTGTGTTTGAGTGTGATGTAGTGTTGTGTGGTGTGGTGTGGTGTGGTGTGAATGTGTATTTAAATACTATATGAACTGTTTTATATGTTTTGAGGACTGTTTCCATGGCAGCAGGTGTGATGGAAACAATATATCTTAAATATCTTAATCTTTAAGAAATATCAACATACTTCTGTTTTGATTACCACTTTAGTCCATAGTCATGATAGGGATTTTAGCTACAAAATGTAGGAACGTGTGTAGAGGGAGCTCCTAAGCTGCCAACACCAAAGAGTTAAGCCTTTTATTAGCACAGTAAATGAATCTGAGCCTAGCATAGACTCAGCTAAACCTCTGAAATTACCTGCTGTACTTGGAAAGAAAGAAGTGGAAATGTAATCAACATAATTATATGGCCAAGCTCTGGGGGAGAGATTTAAGAGTTGATGCAGAACGTATCTGAGAAAGAATAAACATGAAATAACTTAAATTTACAAGAAAGGTGATTTTGAGAACAAGTTACTTGAAATAAGTATTAACCACATTCCAAATGCTTCCAGAAAATGGATGTTGTCATAGGGCCCTTTTGAAAATAAAGACTATAAAGTAAAGGAGTGACGCAGTTTCCAAATAGGGACCTAAAAGGGTGCCTACATGCTGCTCCGACGACTTGAGCAATCCTCAACTAAGTTCTATATGACAGAGGACATTTGGAGCCAACCCTTGAAGAAAATGTATAGAGACTGGTAATATGGACAAGGATAAGTGGAATTGACTCAGGACACTGAGAAAAAAATAGAAACATAGCAAATTTTAATAAGTTATGTACAACAATGAATCTAAGGAAGCCATCATCTATAGTTTGAGCTTTGTGTGTTGTTTGAGTTTTTTTTTTTTTTTTTTAAATCTTGATGAGGCTTTTTGTGTGCCACTGCATTTACCTTGGCACAAGGGGAAGAATGGTGATGGTGAATGAGCATCACAGACACTTAGATGGGCCATCAGATAGTCATGTTCAATGTGCACATAATGAACACATGAGCAGAAGAACCTCCCCTATCAGTGGACTTGGGGAGTGGCATGCATGCAGAAAGGGAAGGGAGGGAGGGTGGGATCGGGAGGGGAGGAGGGAGGGGCTTATGGGGGGATACAAAATGAATAAAGTGTAATTAATAAAAAATAAATAAATAAATAAAAATGAAAAAAAAAAAAAAGAGTCCAGATGACAGCTCTTTCGATAGATCCTGGTTAAGAGGGACAGTATTTGTATCAAGCGTCACAATAGAAAGTCAGGAAATGTGAAGGACATCACAGACAGAAATGTAGTCTTAATGATGGAAGGAAGATTATGACCAATTCTCCTCTGGTTCCGGCCTGCATACAGTGCTCTGCATTTCATTACTATTCACCTCAACACTAGCCAAACTCGGGAAGATTAAGTTCTGTCTCTTCAACAAAGTTTTTAATGATGCAGAAGTCTGCCAGTCAGGGTTGGCTGCACAGTGTGGTCAATGGTAAGGCCTGTGATATTTGCTTTGATCTTAATGCCAGTATTTCTATCTGACCTTAGATAAAACCGTGAGACATCATCTGGGAAATTTTGTACTAATCCATACTTAGGGGTTTTCCCTAGGTGCAACAAGGAGTAAAATCAGGCCTCCGTACTCTCATGTTTCAAACTCCTATAAACTGGAAATACATACTGTATGATCTGTCCTTAAAACGCACTCTTTTAGTGCCTTCCTAAAGCTTTCTTCCCCTGCTTCTCAACCTATAATTTCATGTGTTCTAAGTCAACAGTTATCTCCTCTATTTTAATTAATAAATCACAAAGTTAGGTATGTTAAAAATCAACTCACCGACTAGAGTCATGAATGGCACTAACAATGAGTATTATTAGCTCTATCTGAAGATCCTGACGAAGCAATCTTTAAAAATAAAAATTTGATTATATATTAAACCCATATTCCCTTCTAATTTACAAATCTTACAACATGTGCCGGGGATGACTAATTATCTGCAGCTGTTCTAAGCCTGGGTAATATATCATATGTAGGAGTTAGTATTTTCTCAGTTCTAGAGGCTGGAAAGTTGCAAATACAGGAGGAGCTACCACCTGGTCAGTACTTTCTGGTAACATTGTCTCAGGAAAGAAGGAGGTGAGCTTGCCTCTTCATAATGGCAGAGGGCTTAGAGTCTAAGCCCATCCCAAAGGTCCCACCTCTCAATGTTGTAGCAACAGCACTTACATTCCAAGATCAGTTTTGGAGGGACACAAGGAGAGCCCACAGTCAAAAATTCTACAACCTGATCAAGGCTAATCAGACCTACCTGAAACATTTCCATTTGTTCACTCACACATGGAAATGGCCACTAGAAAAACCATTTGCATACTATATTTTATTAAAATTTTTATTTTATTATTTTTGTATTTTGGAAAATATAATTACATCATTGTCCTTCCCTCCCTTCCTTTCAAAACCTGCATGTATGCCGTTGCTTCTTTCAAATTCGTGGTATCTTTCGCTAGTAGTTGTTACGCGTATACATGTATATACATAAATATTCCTAAATATAACCTGCTCAATCTGTATGTTACCTGTATATATGCATGTAAGTATATGTACATATATATAAGTTCCTAAATATAGCCTGTTTAGCCCATATAATGCTACCTTTATGTTCCCATGGCTGACTGTTTAGTACTGGAAACGAGTCGGTACACTTTCCTGGGGAGGCCACCTTTCCTGTTCCCAGCTTCCTTTGGTTACCTATAGTTCTTTGTGTAGGGTTGAGGCCTCAAGGCCTTTTATCCACCCTGTCTGAAATGAGGTCTTTTTAGAAATTCATAGGTTTTGAGGCCTTCACTGTCATTAACTGACCAATGTCAATACTAATGTCATTGTAGCAGTTTATTACAAAAGAGGACAATCACCACCTCTCATCTTTTACTCACATGATACCATTTTTCTATGGAGCCCTCACAAAACAGAGCAATTTTACTGGACTTCTCGAATTTTTTTTTTCTGTTGTTGTTCTGTTTGTTTTTGATACTGGATCTTACTGTGTGGCCCTGGCAGGCCTAGAGCTTTTGCTATAAACCAGGCTGACCTACAGCTTACCATGATCCTCCTGTGTCTGCCTCCTGAATGCTGGTATTGCCATTATGGACAATTTTCTACTTTGTAAATGAATCTCTGGCATTCTGTTATGACTGCCAACAAAACATAGTGGAAGCCTCAAGGGATCGGTGCCAATGGAGATATTCTGGTCCAAAGACTTCTCTGCTTGACTTTTGATGACCCAGTCAACATCCTTGTTAGCAAGCAATCTGTGGAGGTCTTCCATTCCTTTGTGATGAATTCAGTGGAATTTGTCTCAAAAACAAAATTGTCCACTTTCTAAAAGTATATGATTTCTTGACTGGTCATTTGATAATTATTGTAATTTTTGTTTATTTGGCAACTATGTCTCTACATTCATTCTTGATTTGAACTTTGCCAGAGCCCTGCAAGGGGAACAGCAAACAGCTCTAGAACTCACGGAATGCAGCCCACCAGTCAGCAGAGCCATAATGGCTATGTCTTGGTATGGCACAGCCCTGAGAACCATAGAACCTGAGGACTTCATGCTGCTATGGAGCATAGCCCTGCTTGTTATCCTTGCAAGCTTCAGAATCCTCCTAACACATTGTGTGAAAACTCTAAGAGAGCTTCCAGCTCCTGACTGGGCAGTATATCAGGCACTGACAATTAACAATGCTTGGTTTCTTTCAGGCTTGGTTGCTGGAGCAGATTAATGATTTAACCACCACCCTTGAAAAAAAGAACCTACAGATGTAGAGTGTTAGCATTGGCCACTACCCTTAGAAAGAATTTGGAAAAATAGATTGTTTATCAAGGTTGGGGAAAGATGTTTTTACTAGTGGTTCTGACATAGAAAATCTTAGGAAAAACTGACTGTTTAGCAAGGTTAAGTAAGGATGATTTTGCTAGTGGTTCTGATATAGGAAATCTTAGGGAACAATCTGAAGTTCAAAAAAGTACACTCCTAATAGTAGAGTCAGGGACTTTTTAAGGTTGTTGAGCACAGACAATAGCCCAGAAGGTCACTGACTGATGTGATACTCTCAAACATGGAGCAGGGGTAGGCGGTACAGCAAATCTACCTTCCAGCTCAGTCTGCTTCCCTCTCAAACACCAGGCCTGAACCCTCTTGATCTCCCTTTTTCAGTGGCATTATTAGCTCCCAAATGCTTCCATCTCTACCTGAAAACTCTAATTGCACACCCAACTCTGCAATCCTTTCAAAAATGAGAAAACTGAGTGATACTTCTGTTTGTTTGTTTGTTTGTTTGTTTGTTTGTTTGTTTCAGGTCTTCTCCCACCTTTAAAAAAATGAAATACAGGAAGAAGACAAAGAAAAAACAGAAAATCCACTCTGGGAGTGTTGGGAACAAAGCCCTGGGACCCTTCCTAAGGGCCTGACCTGCCAGATAAGCACCAGGCGCCAGCAGGCCATAGCTTCTTACAACCCATTGTTCCCAAAACTGTTTGCTTTGGGACACATCCGTGACCACCGATGTGACCACCGATGTTATCTTCGGGCCTTGTAACTCTTTAACCCACCTTCTTAGCCTTGGGAACTTCCCACCAAGGGTCTTGGTATTTTTCCACTACTACTTCCCTTTCTCGCCCCTCTCCCCCGCCCTGCCAAAACCACGTTTTAAAAGAAACACCAAAGTTCAATAAAGGGGACACTTGACCGGCAACCGTCTGCTTGTGTCCTTTCTCTCTCTCCCCCATCTTTTTCAGGATTGACCCCCTTCGCCCCCACGAATAACTAAGTCCCGCGGGACGGGACATGGGAGCAAAGTGGGAGAGAGCCCAGTGGCAGCAGCCACTGTGAACTTTTTGCTGATATCCTGAATCTGAATATTCATTCCTTTGTACCCCGCTATCTCTTCTATGTTATGAGAAACTAAGCTTCCCATCTTGGCCAGCCACAACTGGGTGTCGCTTGTTGTGCATAATTTTTAATCTATTTTATTCAGGTTCTATACCTTTACCTCCCTTCCAACACCCCAATACTAGGTCTGAGAAAAAGGAGGTTAGTAGAAAGAAAGGCCATAGGTCTCTTTAGCCTTAGTTCGTTGGGGCAAATCTGTCTAATCATAGTCAGGATATCTAGCAGTCCAGCAAAACAGTTTGGGGTGGTGGGGGTAGGGAGGAAGCTTGGTTCCAAGATTCCCTTCACACAAAAACTCATTAACTAAGGACAGTGGTTTTCAACCTCCCTGATGCTGCAATCCTGTAATTCAGTTCCTCATGTTGTGGTGACTGCCAACCAAAAAATCACTTCATTGCTACTTCAAAACTGTAATTTTGCTACTGTTATGATTCATAATGTAAATATTTGCTGTGCCATCCCCAAAAGGGTTGCAGCTCACAGAGTGAGAACCAGTGCTTTAGGAAAAAGACAGGGTCAGTCCATACCCAGTTCTATGGACTCCAGTTTCACACCCATTCGGATGCCCTGCCACACCAGCACCCCTGAAGAACGGGTCAGAGTCCTTAACTACCAAGCCACTAAAACATCCAAAGAGGTTTTTCTTCAAACAAGAGTCAGAGCTCAAAATGGCATCACATTTGAGACACATATGCTCCAATCATGGATGGAATGCCAGTCTTGACTCTGATCAGTATTGACTGAATCACCTCCGAGGCTGACAGAAAATGAACCCATGAAAGAATGAGATGAAAATCTAGTGGTAGCTTGAACAAACTGAATTAGCAGAAATGTGAACAATAGAAGGAAATAAAGCTGCTTGGAGGAAGGAAAAAAGTATCATTTGAGACATAAACACAGCTTTTCTCTATGAAAAGTAATTCTTAGAAGTAGAAAAATTGGGGTATAGAAATTTGATGTGGTCTACTAGGGCATTAAAAGCCCAGATGAGTGTGTTTATGCAACAAGGTACCCTATGGAAACTTTATAGGCTTATAGAATAAAAAATTGATTTGTGTAAAGTTTTTGCTTACGATGTACGTAAGTAAGCTTCACCTCCATCTGCCATGTTACTACTGCTTGAGGGTGGATGATCATGTAATCATTCAGAACAAATACTGTGGTGGCAGGAGTTTACAAACTACTGTGTCTGAACACTCTGAGTCTAGCAATCATTTTCAGAAGCTAAAATTCAAAGAAACCCTTCTACAGATTTTGTTGGGCCTCGACAACATCTACAATTATGAAGTTGTATATGTGACCTTTCAACCCAGCAACAGGCTCATTTATCAAGATGCAAAATGACTCCCCTGGGGGCCCAGGAGGGTTGAAAATAAAGCCAACTGGTTTCCTTGGTTACTGTTAAGAAATTCAAGCCTCCGTACCGAGAAAGGATGGAGAGTGGTCACACAGGCAAGGAGGTTGACGAAAACTCAAGGAATGGCCACAGGGAGATGTTACATAATTCATTCTGGGTGAAGGTCACCACAAAGACTGCTTGGCAGACAGATGTCACCAGGCACTAAGGCATGCACCACATATATGGGCCATACACAGGCAGGCAGAAGAACCAAAGTAGACTCACACACAGGCTGTCTGGAGGTGGGTAGACATAATAACCTACAAAGAAATTCAGGCCAGCTAGGGACAGCAGAAGCAGAAGGCAATCACCTCTGACCTCGTGTCCATACTTTATACAGAACCACACAAAAGTGGCATTCTGCCAGAAACAGTTGTATAACAGATTACCTGACTGTTTGTCTTTAAATTCCTTGAACATTGCTTGTCAGACATTTTGTGCCGCCATAGCCCCTAAATGTCCAGGCGTTAGTCATCCTGGCTCATGCTGGATATTCACCTCAGCGTCATATTGTCCAAATGTAAATTGTCTCTCTAGCTTTCTGTTTCCTCCAGGATGTGACATCAATGAGCAAAACCAAGGGGGAGTAAGATATTTCCTTGCTAATGAAAATTTGCTAGAAAGTTATCAATACCTTCCCTAAACAAACATATTTACCTTGAGTTAACATTTCAATGGCTGCAGGAACAGGTCATTACCGGACGACAGATGCTTTATGGGTAGGCACCTGTGGCATCTAGACATAATAATACCCTCATTATTTATTGTAATGAAGCTAGCTATATGCAGACATGTAGTAGGAGACAGAATTCAGCTCTTCCTCACTGACTTGAGGAAAAACAGCCAAACACTGGAGCCATAAGCCCTAGCTCCAATGACTCACAGTTTGTTGCAAATGAAGAGATATGAGTTTCACAAGTAATAATACCAATCAATCTCTTCACACAGCTCAAAATAGGAAATATTGTAAAATGATGGCTCTCATCAAGGAACTATTCTGGTACTGATGAGATATTCTTGCGCTTCTCCCATTAGCTCCCTGGCACTGATTAGACATTATCAACGGCCCTATGTGAGCAGCGCTCAGCACTTTATGTGGCTGCAGAAAGGCAGTGGCTCTTGTGATACCACTTCCAGGCATTATTGATTGACCCCGCATGTCACATCATAACACCCCTTCCAATCCCACTGTTTATGCTGCCCCTGTCTTCCATCGATGCAACTTTCCCACATGTTGATCAGTTTTCAAGTCTTAGAGGTGGATTGGATCAGAGAAAGCAAAATTCAATGATGTGGTTAAAAAATGAATACATATTTGGCTAAGATTATTCTCAGATGGTAAAGGTGCATAAGTAGATGCATTTGACAAGTAGATTAGACAATTTCACGTGACGTAATTTCTGTGGAAGGACCATCAAATTGTTTTGGAAGGGTAAAGATATGTATTTTAAGTGTATGAGTGTCTTGCCTACATGTATTTTCATGCACCACATATGTGCCTATGCTTGAGGATGGTGGATCCTTTGAAAATAGTTACAAAGGGATGTCCCAGGAACCACACCTGGGTCCTCTGCTGGAGAAGCAAGTGCTCTTTGCTGCTTTCTCTCCTGCTCTCCCTCTCTTTCTTAATAACAGAATCCTCAAGTTTCATCTGGACTATGGTTGCCCAGAATACTTTCCCAAGATTTTGTTAGTTTGTTTGTTTTAGCTATTGTGTGGTTAAATGAAAAGATTCATGGAGTGGTCTTAAGTAGGGGTGTGTCTCTCTGTGTGTGCAGCCTCTTTACATACATGTGCCCTCTGCCTTTCTATGTGTTCTTCATCCCTCCATGTGACCTGCATATCTCTACATGTGCAATTGCCCTGCCTCTCTCGCTGTATCCTGCATTTCTACATGTGCCTTGCCTATCTCTAAATGTGTCTAGGAGCTCCTCCTGTGTTCCGCATCTCTTCCTGTGTCCTACAGCTCTCCACATGCCCTGTGTCTCCCCATGTGTTCTGTGAGAGAGCAGGAGGCCTTGCTCAGCTCTGGGCTTTCCTTCGCATGCTGACTCGATCAGGAGCTTGCTGTTAAGGTGAGGGCTCTTCCTTCATGATCATCATCACAAACCACACCAGTATGTGAAATAAGAAATTTCCCCTATGAAGAAAGACATGGAGTTTTAGAGCTTGTTTACTCGGGATTGAAATAATTGAATCACTAAGTTGTTTAGAATAGTTTAATTATTTCACTCAAAGAAAAAAAAACACTAAGTGAAAATTTCTTCATTTTATCTGTCATCTCTTAAACAAAATCTATCTAGAAGAGGATGAAGATTCTGGATATGCTCCAGGGAGTTAAAACTGTCATTCACTGAAAACATTATCATGAGTTTATCTGATTCTTGAGTTTCCCTCTAAGAGTACAGATCTCTGGTAATTTTTACATCCTTTGAAAAGTCACACAGTGATGGCTATGCTAGTTTTGATACTGATGACAAGAGGACCTGAGTTATGTATATAAAAGAGTTTGAATGAAACTAAAGGAAGAATGATCAAAATACCTGAAGTAGACTTCAAGGCCAACAGCAGTGGCTCTTGAAATAAGTCTCCGTGAAAACACTGCCCGCTGAAGAAGAGGATGTTTGTGATGGCTGCAGCTACCTGATGCATAATTCCCCATTCTGTGGAAACATGAAAGCATGACACAAGAAGATAAAGGCAGACGCCGAAATGCAAACAAAGGCATAGAAACAAGTCCTCAGAAGCAAGACATCAGAAGACAGCAAAACAAAAAGACGAAGAAGCAAAGAGAGAGAGTTTCAACTGCACTAGGTTTACTAGCTCATCCCAGAGATGTCCCCAAATTCCAGTCTTCTCTCCCACGACTCTCTCCCTCTGTTACCCTCACCCTATCCTTCCTGTTCCCATCCCCAGCTCCCTCATCCAGAGCCCTCCCCCATCCACTCACCATTTCTATTCAATTTCCCCTTCACAGTGAGATTCATGCTCACTGTGGGGAGGGAGGGAGAAGGTGTATGAGCCCCCTTGTGACTTGGCTGCTCTGAGTCTGTGGACTGTAGCATGGGTATCTTTACTTCGCGGCTAATGCCCACTTGTGAGTAAGTGCGTGCATACCATATTGTCTTTCTAGGTCTGAGTTACCTCTCTCAGGATGATCTTTTGGGGTTCTACCCATTTGCTGGCAAATCTCATGATGTCATTGTATTTAACAGCTGAAGAATAGTCCATTGTGTAAATCTACCACATTTTCTTCAGCCATTCTTCATCTGAGAGACATCTAGGTTGTTTCCAGTTTCTGGCTATTATGAATAAAGCTGGTTGTTGGGAGTAGCCAACCAATGACTGAGACCAGCTTGAGACCCATGGCATGAAAGGGATCCCACCTCTGACACTGCCTGGAG